AGGGTTAGCCAGTTCAAGGAACTGGGTCACGGGACATCAAGCTCAAAGCACCGCTACTTGACTCTGTCAAGAAACCCATGCACCTACTCGTTTCAATTCAGAAATCAGAAAGCCAGGGCAAAATCGCACACATGCGTGTGTGTTCTAGCACATCTGGTAACTAACGACAACTAAGAAAATGCAATGTTGATAAAATAGAAAATGCAACGTTCATAAATTGCTTTGCTTGTTGTTTTGTAAATCCGATTGCACATATGAACATAGAATAACATTGGAACATCCAATAAATGTAAACCAACAAAGAAAAGGTACAGAAGAACTGAGGAAACTCAGAGGCTCAGAACAAACTAAAAGACCATAAAATTCAGATAAATTACCTTTTGTACAATTTACAGGGACCCAAGGAGCAAGGATTCCCAATTAAAAACAGAGCAGAGAGATATTAACACAATAGAAAATCAAGAATAATTCGAAAAACATCTACTTCTATGGTAATATTGATACCACTCTTCTTCAGCAAGCAACCATCAACAGCTACATTCTTACTCTTGACAAAAGATGTTTGGGAGTTAGGCCTAAAACTTCAGAAAAAATACGCTGAGTTACGAATAGAATACCTGATTGAGAGCTGAGCTTACAGGCTAAGAGAATTGAGATTTCCATTGGCCAGGTCTACTGGAAGTTGTCTCCTGAGGTTCATACATAGGAAAGGAGTTTCAATAGAAGATTTGAACTTCAAGGTTATTATTTTCATGTGAAAAAAAAATCTTAAAGTGATCTTGTGAGCTACTTAATTAAGAATAACCTTAGTTCTGATGCTATATGAGGGAGTTCTTGTTGATTTGCGCAATCTAAGTAGCTAGCTGCCTTTAAAAAAAACATCTACAGTGGCATGTCTTGATTCTGTACACAGAACATCAATTTTCAGCAATTACTCATCTTCTTTCACCAATCCTATAAGAAGTGGCAAGTAGTCTTGTGCAAATCTATCACCATTTCCAATCTTGTGCAGGCAAAATGCATACCAACATATACACTAACCAGGTAAATATGGGGATGCTACACAAACTTGAAGGCCTATAGAATGCAAATATTTTACCATTTCGGAGTGCACATATGTGTTGCAGATGTTTTAAGAAGGATGAGTTTCACATCTGAATAATTTAGATACAGATTATTAACATGATCGAGAATGCACCTCACTGTAGCAAAAATTGTCAACATCTCTCTCATCAGTCGAGTAGTTGCTTGCTGAATTTCTTATTAAGAAGCCAAATGATAACAAATAAAATACTTGCAACTAAATTGGAGATTTAAAAGGAAAGGAGAATGAACATACAAAGTAGTATAGTTCAGAAACAATTAAGTGCGTACTTCCTGTATTAAGTTTGATCCTATGATGATCAATATCACATTGTACACTGCACGAGGGAATCAGCGATTTGTGCAAACCACTTAATATTTCAGAGCAGTAGGTATTCTAACCACATCTCTAATATGTTAGAACCACAACTAAATCTAGGGTACTGCTCGTAATTAAGGATAATTTCTCTAGTTGCATAGAGAGTGAAAGGAGCTCCTTTGGTTGCAGTATGTGTGAATCTTTCTTTGCTGAGATCACGTGTATCCAAATAATTTCCAACTCCCAAACATTTGCTCGGTGACGGACTAAAAAAATGTTTGCAGTTATAAGACATAAATGTTTGTTACATTATCATGTAAAAAGCTACATTGCAAACCTATCTTCTTCATATTCAGAGAGTAAATAAACGAAACATTGGAATTGACGGCTATCTAGAAACATACTCCCTCTCTAAACAAATATAAGACCTATTAGATCACTAAGAAAATGAATACTTGATCACTCCCAACTGATATTTCCTTTGAGCTTGATGTTTGTGCGATTCTGGTCCCAACTTGAATTGTTGTTTTTGTGTTGAAATATGAAAGCTCTACCGAAAGCACAACAGACCAAGTAAATGGTGGTAATACTATTACTCGTTCAAAAAATCCTCCTATAACTAAAATATTTATCTTAGACCCATCCAGCAAACTATGTGTCATGTGTCTTTCATAAAAAAGAAATCGAAAGAAATATTGCAGATCAAGTAAGATAATCTATACAATCTCACATCAAGGAGAGCATCCCTCCTTTCATTTGGTCGGCCACTTTTATTTCAGGTATAACCGGGAAATTGATCGTAGTTGTCTGATGCTCATAATTCAATTCATTTTTTATCTGCAAGGATGTATAAAATGCTCTTCATTAGGCTAGTAGCAAAACTTACTAATGTGTGTGCCCGTCTATCGACTTGTATGTATCAGTAGAAAGACTACATCGTGCCATTAGGAAGAGGTACGTGCATACATGCAGGACTATCTATGTGGCATCACAGAATGAATTCATTATCCATCTGCTAGACATTTTGACAAGAGCCAATGTAATTAGGACGTGCTAGGCGAGCAAACCTGGAGCTTGAGTCCATCATCAGGGCGGCCCTGTTTAAGTTTCAGGCCAGTTAATCCCCAAGCTCGTTTTATAATCTGTTGTCTCTTCCTTCCCTGTTGAATCAACCGATCCATGGCCTTGGTCTGCTGTCTAGTCTGTTTTGGTACAGATTCACAGAAGACACTAATCAAACATCACGACAGCATACTGTTTGGAATTTAGAAATCCATTCAAGTCATGCCCTGCAAAGGATGATTCATCAGTATATCGGATAAATCACCAAGAATGATTACCAACTGATTACCAACTCAAGCAGCATGTTCTAGAAAAAAATTCAGGCACGCCATGGTTTCCAATTCAGAAGATGAAACACAGCAAACAGGATGTTCAGGCCAATTCTAAAAATCAAACATACCGCTATCGAATCTTAGGCTGGCGTACTCCTTAGCCTTGCCTGGCAAGCCCGCCGGCCGGTCGCCGGAGCCGCCACCGCTATCGACCGCCTCCCTGACCCTGCGCCCCCTTCTCCCTCTCCTTTCTTCCTCTCTCCCTCACGCCCTGTCTCTCTTTCTACGGATGAGCAGGACGCCGCCGCCACCGGAGCAAGCCGCCGCGCCAGCAGCCGGATCCGCTCGTCTTCCTCGCGCCGGCGCCGCGGCCTCGCGTCACCCACCGGCCGCCTGCCCGTTCCGGCGAACTCCAGCGCCGCCAATCTTTTCCCCTGCGTCGAGGAGTTGCTCGAACCACCGCCGTCCGCTGCGTGCGCCAGGCAGCCCATCCAAATCTGCAGCTCGCCCGCGTGGGCTACCCCGATGGCCGGACAGGAAGACCATCCACGCGTGGCGGCGGCGGCGGCCGTACCCCGAGCTCTCCTTCGATGCATACATGCCCGTGTGTCCTGTATTTCTTTTTGGTTTCCAACCCTTGTGTTAGGCTGAATAAAATTAAGGCCCAAGCCCAGAAACGAACGAAACGTTTTCTCACTTTAAAAGGATCGCGCGTTAAATACAAGAAACTACATGGGCTTTTAATGAAAACATCCTAAACGAAACGTTTTCTGACTTAAAAAGGGACTGCGGGTTGAATAACTAAAACACCAGGGACTTTTCTGCAAAAGTACTAACGACGGACGACCAGAAGCAATCGCTGGTTTATTAGTAGGTAAAGATAAAGATTTCTATTTTTTTGGAAAAAGAAGACATCCAAGGGGCATCTTAGATATGATAAATATCATGAAAAAATAATCAGTATGGTGAAAAGACAACTAGACGCAGAACAAGTAGTACAAAATAACATTAATTCTTACTGCACCGGATGGATTGCATGCCCTAAAAGCCTTCACGAGCCAAAGATCGCCAAAATTGTTGTCAAATACATATGGATCGCTAGCTAGCATGCACGGTACATACATCGCTTAATCATGAAGTCTCTCTCTCTCTCTCTCTGTCTCAAGAAAAGATCGGGCATATGCATGAGTGCGTTGGAATCAAGATAGAATCTCCCGTTTTCCTCGCATCATTTTGTGTATGTATTGTTTCCCGGTCAAAACCGAGCTAAGAGTCAGGAGAAAAAACTAATCTTGGATAGACAAGGCGGTTCGTTTAGCGCCAAAATACAGCTCATAACCTGCACAAAAATAGCAGCTATATTGGACATTCCTTCCCCAAGGCTTGCCCGTTTCAGTTTTAACTGAGGGCATGTTGGTCTTTGACCGCGGTACATGTGTGCCCTCCTTGTCCTAATTAAGTAACCGGGGCCGCCTAATTGTCCTAATCTCCTGTTGAAAATCCACATCTTGTTACAAAAAGTGCCCGTATCTCATGGCCTATAATTAGCCCAGACTCCTAGTTCCTGATCTTCCTGTTCCTGGCCTTATAAATAGAAGCCGTTGCCATTTGCATGGTCTACGAGCTTCTCATCTCTTCCTCTTCCTCTTCCTATCTCCCTCTGCGGTTTCCCCCAGAAAAGATCGAAGCAAAACATTGGACGCCGGCCGGGGTTTCCAATCGACGGTGCACGCCATGCTCGACGACGATCAGTCCTTCACCGTATGTAAATCTTCTGACCATGATATAATTTACCGCTCGGTTCTCGGAAATCGTTTGCTTTTTTCTGCATGTTTTGATGATGATCCGCCTCCTTTTGCCATCTTGCCCATGCATGCTGTTGATGAGGATTCCGTTCAAATGGCCATTGGCAAATGATCTTTGCTAGACAAGCAGTTATGTGCACGGTGCAATAATTGTTTAGGTGTCTATCTATCACACCAAAGCCAAAAGCAGGGACGGGATCCAGAAGAGGAGGAAATCTTTCGGCTTTTGGACCCCGGCCCCGTTGCAGTACAGAGAGAATCGATGCCTCGACTTGATAGTTTTTGCTTCGTGATCTCGTTAACCTTTATGTCCGCATTGCGTGCGCCGCAGAGAATTCTGATCAGGACCGCCTCTGCTTGGCTTGGCTTAAATTCTCTCATCCTTAACAGTAAACATTCCCCGGCATACGGCATACGGACCTATACTTCCACTGTTCTATCCGTCCCAATTCCATCCTCATGGATGCAAAATTGAGCTGTGCAAATGCAGATACAACAGTACGGCATTTGATTCCCTCGCCCAAAACAGATTATATAAGGATCGTAGACGAAATGTGCTTGATCATGTAGATTGTAGGATGCATTTTGTCTTTCTTTCTGAATCAAGAATCATGGTGGCTAACAGTAGCATTTGCATTCTACAGGCGTGTACATGCGTACCTGGTCTCTCCTGTTGATCGGAGTTGAGGCATGAAACAAGGGGCGCTGACGAGTTTGTTGGTTTCTTGCAGGAGGGCATCTCGAGCCCCATAGCCGCGCACATCCTCGACTTCTGCGACGATGGCAGCGGCGGCGGCGACCTCTTCGGGGCGGTGAATGCTGCATCCGACGTGTTCGCTGCCTCGTCGGAGGACGCCTCCTCGTTCTCCACCGCCACGCCTCCCCTCTGCAGCCATGGCGACAACATGTCGTCGGGCGCGGCCGCGGCCACGACCACGGCCACCTTCTCCCCCTTGCCGTCCCTTGACTCCACACTCTCGGCGCTCCTCGAGGAAGACCAGCCGCCTGGCCCCGACGCCGAGCTCCTCCTCCCCATAGACTACGCATTCGCGGCGGCGGCGGCGGGCACGGACGAGGCCCAGACGGAGCAGCAACAGTTTGGCCAGATGGTGCTCCCGGTGGTGACCGCGGCAGAGCACCACCCGGCGCTGCAGACGCAAATGAGCAGCACGGCGTCCGAGCTCATGCAGCTCACCTCGGGATACACCGACGAGTGCTTCGCAGCGGCGCTGGCCGGAGGGTTCATGGGGCTGGAGGAGACCCTGTGCCAGCAGCAGCCTGGAGCGATGCTCCCCGGCGCCGCCGACGCGGCGACGCAGGGGTGTTACGCGACGCAGGGAGGTTTCTTCGGCGGCGGCGGTTGCACGGGCACCGTGATGTCGATGATGCTGGGGATGGAGGAGATGGGCGAGTACCAGAGGATGATGGAGGGCGGCGCGCTGGTGGACGCCGACTCCGCGGGGCAGATGGCGTTCCCTACCGCCGCAGAGATGCAGGTAGAAACCCCGAACGAATTCGCCAAGAATCGCAATCGAAATCGGTAGGACAGAGCATGACCGATCGTTTCGCGGTGGTATAGATGGGAGGCAGCGGGAGCCCCGGGCGGCTGCCGGCGGCGGGAGAGACCTCGAGCCTGGAGGACACGAGCCTCAAGGCCGCCCGCCTCTCCGTGGAGGAGAGGAAGGAGAAGATCCACCGGTACATCAAGAAGAGGAACGAGCGGAACTTCAGCAAGAAGATCAAGGTGGCCCACCAAACCAAAATCAATCACCTTGGAACGATCCATGCATGGTCCTCAACGCCGCTGACATATCCGATCGAAAATCTGCAGTACGCGTGCAGGAAAACCTTGGCGGACAGCAGGCCGCGCGTCCGCGGGAGGTTCGCCAAGAACGACGAGTACTGCGAAGCATCCACGGAGATCGGATCACAGAACCACGAGGAGTACGAGCAGATGGTAAGTCTGGATCAAATTTCATCGATCGCCAGCTCCGGCTCTGATCCGACGAGCATGTCGTCGCTAACGAGTTTTTCCATTTCAGCCGGGCGTGAAGGCGGAGGACATGCTCGACCCCGACGCGCTGGCGCACATCAGCGGGATGAGCTCCTACATGTACAACCACACGGTGGAGTCGTGGATATAATCTGACTCACGACGAACACGAGCCCGCTAATTCCATTTTCCCCTCAACCTATTTTACACGTGCAGATTTTTAACAGCCTGTTTAACTTGATTTTGGTCCCGTGGAATAATTTTGTAGCTCCTGAAGCGGCGAGTTGAATTTACTTACCATGTAGGGTCGGCCCGTCTGTTGTGTCAGTCGAAATCTGCTTTTCGCTTGTTGCAGCTAATTCTTGCAGGTGAATGTGAGGTTTTAGAGTTTGCAGAGGAGTTGTGTACTTGGCTTTTTTTAATAGAAAACACAGCTTCAGGGATCATGTATCTGGTCTTGCTCTTTTCCAATTCAACTCAACTCTGAGAATTGCAGGGATACAGGTAGACTATACCGGCGCATTTTTTTTTTTTTTTGTAAAATACGTAATCGGGAATTGTTGCTGCAATACATTATAAGATTTACCACTGAAATGTACAGACAATTGTAAACGTAGAGTCAATATAGCGTGTCGGTGCAACTGTAGTCATACTACTTTCTCCCCTTGTGGACCCCCCGAATTCGTTTATGTGTTGCAGTTGCAGCCGCAGCTCATCGAGTGTGACCAGAATTCAAAGAGGGATGGCGTCTTTATGTTATCATACGCAGTTGCAGTCGATGCAGTTGTAGTCATACTACTTTCTCCCCTTGCGGACCCCTCGAATAATTCGTTTATGCATTGCATCTACAGCAGCAATGTTATCTGGCTTGGTTTCGTTAATGAAATCGGAGGGATCACCCCCTCTTTCGCTCGAAAAAAGCTACAGCCGCAACTCATCAAGTGTGTCCACAATTCAAAGAGGGAGGTGTCTTCATGTCTCCCGAGACTCGAGGTCTCTCCCATCGCCGACATGACCCATCAGATCGCTAGATTCGAATGGGCAACCTACAATCAAAGAAATCACTGCATGCTACATTGAAAGGATCGATGTGGTCGATAGAGGGAGTGAATAGGAGACTGCAAATTTTAATCTTAATTATCAATTTTAGGGAAATATGTATAAATCAGGTTCTCTAGATATGCAAGTAGATGAACACAAGCTATATGACAAAGAAACTCAAAGCAATGTAAGGTAGGCAACAAACTAATTAGCAAGCCCACAAACTTACAAAGAAAAGTAAAGCGCGGAAAGATTTACTATAAGTGAGTCGAAGACGCTGATTTTATCCCGAAGTTCACATTTCCTTGGGGAAGTGCTAATCTCCGTTGGTGCGGTGCCAGAACCAAGGCTTTGGAACGCCAGCAAGTGGCTCACCTTATTCTCCTCAAGTCGCCCCAACGGATGAGCCTCGAATCACTCGGGGTTGATCTTGAAGGCAACCACCACACCTTTACACACGTCTCTCGGACACACGACACGCAAGGAAGCTTCCAGAGGAACCACTACCGCCTAGGAGCCCAAGCTCCAAGAGTAACAAGTGTTGGTGAAAAACTAATTGGGGAAACACAAATTGGTTTGGTGGAAATGTAGATACGGTGAATATCTTCCAATCCCCAAAGAATCGGAGTGCTTGGATGGAGGGATGGAAGATATCAACCGTTTAGGGTTTGGGGGATGGCGGAGCAGCTTGAGCAATGGTTAGGTTGAGTAGACTACATAGAGGTGAACCAACACCCAAAGTATGCGGAGAGGTAGCCCTCCCTCTGGGACCTGGGGTTCCAGGACCCCGAGCACCCGTGACATCCAAAGGCACATGCTTCTTCTCGGGTTACTTTGAGCACGCAGGGGTCCAGGACCCCGAACACCCGAACCTTCTGGTACATGCATTTTTAACCTTGTTTTTACACTGATTTCAACAAACGTTGGAGGGGAAGGCAATTATATGATTAATATGAATTTCCCCAACACTCTCAAGTTGAGAACACTCATTGTTTTCTCTCAACCAGGAAGGTGTTGGGCCTCAAGTGCAAGGGTTTGTAGGAAGCGACATTCTTTCTTCCAAGTAGATGACCTTAAAGTTTATCGAACTAGTAGGAGCTTTGAATTTCAACCAATGGTAAGTACCTACTAACAAATACAAAATTTTCATTGGCCCCCAACGAAACTAGTAAGATTGTTAGTCCTACTATCCTTGCTAATTACAAGGATTAAACACAAAGTGTGTTTGGAAGATTATGGATGCATGGGAAATGAAAGTACGGTTCAGATTGTGAAGAAAGTAAAACAAGAAGATTGATGTTGTATGCAATGAGAGAAGATGGACTAGGATCCATATGTTCAGTAGTGGCCTCTCTCTAAAATAAATAGCAAGGATGGATTGTTAATGACATATCTCTGTTCGATTTGAAATAAAGCTAGCCATGATAGTGTCACCTCAAAACAAAAGAGGATGCATTATACACGCACAAACGCACATGTCCTTGTTTTATTGATCCTTAACTGGAGTTGCTTAAGAGTTATTGGTTTCTAAGGAAGGTGATGCAACAAAATAAATGCCAAAATTAATCTGAACATCATGTTTCTCTGCACTGGTATTCCCGTGTTTGCATGAAAAAATACAATATGTGTGCAAGCAATGATTTTTCCTACTGTTAACCCGAGAACCAATAGCGACAAGAAGAAAACCGTACTGAGGTGTGGCTTTCTGCTGGGTTGGACTCTGTTGTAAATCTGGCTATGGCTGAGAAGCCTTCTTGAGTTATGAGATATTGTAGGATCGAAAGTATGTCTAGCGAGGGGGTGATTAGACTACTTGACCAAATAAAAATCTAGCCTTTTCCCAATTTTAAGTCTTGGCATATTTTAGCAACTTATCACTAGTCAAGCAATCAACCTACACATGCCATTCTAAGAGTATAGCAGCGGAATGTAAATCATTGCATATGAAGGTAAAGGGGGGAGTTTGGATGGAGCAAACGCAATGTAGACACGGAGATTTTTGGCGTGGTTCCGATAGGTGGTGCTATCGTACATCCACGTTGATGGAGACTTCAACTCACGAAGGGCAACGGCTGCGTGAGTCCACGGAGGGTTCCACCCACGAAGGGTCCACGAAGAAGCAACCTTGTCTATCCCACCATGGCCATCGACCACGAAGGACTTGCCTCACTTGGGTAGATCTTCACGAAGTAGGTGATCTCCTTGCCCTTACAAACTCCTTGGTTCAACTCCACAGTCTTGACGGAGGCTCCCAAGTGACACCTAACCAATCTAGGAGACACCACTCTCCAAAAGGTAATAGATGGTGTGTTGATGATGAACTCCTTGCTCTTGTGCTTCAAATGATAGTCTCCCCAACACTCAACTCTCTCTCACATATTTGGATATGGTGGAAAGATGATTTGAGTGGAAAGCAACTTGGGGAAGGCTAGAGATTCTTGTGGTTGGATTGAAATGTCTTGATCTCAACACATAAGTAGGTGGTTCTCTCTCAGAAAATGAATGCTGGAAGTGTAGGCGCGTTCTGATGGCTCTCTCTCCCAATGGAGGAAGGTTGGAGGGGTATATGTAGTGACCAGACCTCAAACGGTCTGATCTCTGTGCATCAGTGTCATCCCTGGATCGGTAATGCTGACACGCACAGTACTTGAAGGATTATAATAGAGTAGCAATCGCACACTTATTACATCGAATGTCTCAGAAGAGAACTTATTACAATAAATATGGCTTAAGGCCATCTAAAAACGATAACAGCGGAAGACTTGGAAGATAAAGCGAGTCCATCAACTCCAACGGCATCACTGAGTGAAAGATCACGACCTAAGGCACCTTACTCATCGTCTGAAAAGTCTGCAACATGAACGTTGCAGCCCAAAAACGGGTCAGCACATGGAATATGCTGGCAATGTAACACACAGAGAGTAATGAACAGAATAATGCTATCACTACATGCAAATATGGCTGGTGGAAAGCTCTATGGTTACAGTTTTGCATAAAGCCAATTTTTCCCTACAACAAAGGAATAAATTTTATTTAACTATCATGGTGGTTGTTAAACATTGAGAAGGTAATCCCCCTCTCAATCCCAATTAAGCATCAACATTAAACCCAACAAATTAAATTAAGAATGATGAGATCCATATGATAATCCAAGTACTAGATACTCAAAACGTCCATAACCGGGGACACGGCTAACCATGATTAGTTTGTACACTCTGCAGAGGTTTGCACACTTTTCCCCACAAGACTCGATCTCCTCCGTTGGATTTCTCGCACTACATGATGTTTGAGAAACGTATGACCGAGACACAGTTTTTCAGAAGCGTTAGCACCTTACGATGGGTAGACAGTACCACCTACATCCCCTACATCTGCTAGTCTACCACTGTAAGAGTTCACACGACTTAATCAACTATGGTAGGGCCCATAGTAGCTTGCGGTTGCACACGGAAGTTTCTAGCATAAAAAATCTCATGATCCCTTTGAGCCTGGGTGGCGGTCCATAGGAGAATCACACGGTACCCTGGGATTTCGAAAAATACAGGCAACAATGGGTTCCCCAGGTGCCTCAGTCCATCCAGATGTGTATTTAAGTTGCCACCTTAAGTTAATCATCAATTAACAATACTCACATCTGTCATGGATACACTCACCCAATCCACGTCTACAAGCATAACATAGCAATATAAGCAAACGTAGAAGTAACTCCCAAAGGTTTGATAATAAATAGGACAATAGGTACTACCTCATCTACTTCCCAAACCCACATATTAATCAGATGCTAACCATGCAATTGTTTGAGGGTTGATCTAATGCAATAAAACTGGGTAGTAAAGAGATATGATCAAAGTGTTACTTGCATTGCTGATGATCCCTGAAACCTAGAGACTCGTAGTAGCACACTGTGCACTCCGGGTACTCTATCGCAAACAAATAGGCATACAATAAGCACTCATCCAGAAGCATGGGTAAAACTCAAATAAGAGACCTAACCAGAAAGTTCAACTTAAGAACTCCAGTTTGCAACAAGAATCAAATCAAACGAAGCAACAAAACTCGAACGGCGAAAGAAACAAGCTTCATTTACTAATTTGGACCTAAGTCAAATTT